CAGAAATGTAATCCCAGGCTTCTTAGTGGTGCTCCCAATGGAGAACGTTTTGGAATTCCTGCTGGACAGGAAGGTTGAAATGGAGGACGTGACCAAAGAAGAGCTAAAGACATATCAATATCAATCCGTGCTTCTTAGTCAGGCTCCATATGGAGGACATTTTGGAATTCCTCCTGGACAGGAAGGTGGGAATGGAGGACATGACCCAATAATAATAATAATAATAAAAACTACAAAACACTCCTAGAAATATAAATTCATGCTTCTTGGGCATGCTCCTCCAGATGGAGGGCATTTTGGAATTCCTCCTGGACAGAAAGGTTGAAATGACCCAATAAAAATCTAAAAACACGCCTAGAAATATAAACCGAGTCTTCTTAGGCTCCAAATGGAGGATATTTTGCAATTCCTCCTGGACAGATAAATAGAAATGGAGGACATGACCAAAGAAAAGCTAAAAAAACATATCAATATCAGTCCATGCTTCTTAGGCAGGCTCCAAATGGAGGGCATTTTGGAATTCCTCCTGAAGAGAAAGTTGAAATGTAGAATATCTGGAAAAGGAGGACCTCTAGTCAGCCTGAGCGCCACCCTTTCTTCCCCATCGCTGGGACTTGGGTTAGTTGAGCTGAAGGCGAGGGAGGGGGGGGTGAGGTTTGAGGTCTGTTTGCCTCAGGTTGTGCATCCTCCCAATTACCTGAGGTAACTGAGGAGAACAGGCAGTGCCTGTCCTCTTCCTCCTCCTCACCCTCAGTGGGATTTTAGTGTTTAGGATTATTAGGGGAGGCTGGAGGTAGTCATGCCTCGCTGCTTTCTGCAAGAGAGATGCTGGGGGAGGGGGGATTGATGTTGAACATAATAATGCTGAAGCAGAGTACAATCCATTGTATTCTCTGTCACCATGTATGAATGTGAGAGCTGGACAGTGAAGAAAACTGATAGGGAAAAAAATCAATTCATTGGAGATCTGGTGCTGGAGTAGGGTGCTGAAGATAAAAGACAAACAAATGGATCCTAGAACAAATCAAAGCTTGAACTCTCCCTGGAAGCCAGGATGATCAAATTGAGGCTGTCATACTTTGGCCACATCACGAGCAGGCACAGCTCATTGGAAAAGACAGTAATGCTGGGAAAGGTAAAAGGTAGTATAAAGAGAGGAGGAACACATACCAGATGGTTGAATTCAACCAGTGAGACCAAGGCCCTGAAACTGAGCAGAGTTTGAGGACAGGAGAGGTCTCATCCACAGGGTTGTTGTGATACAAGGTCCACTTCAGGGCAGTTAAGAACAACCTAATAAGTAAACTGCCCACCCCATTTGCCTAGGATCTCAACCACCTTCCTAGTTAGTAGGAGATTTCCCTCCCAGATCTTCTCCCCTGACACCCACTTGAGAAAACAGGCAAAAAAACAAATACATAAGCGGAGCCTTGTATTCCTTTACCACTGCAGTCTGGGAGGGCGCTGGGAATCTTTTTTTCTTCTTTCCCTTATCTGTGGAGGGATTGCCTAGCTTGGTTTTTCCTCTGCATGGAAGGTATCCAGCTGTCTTGTGACTGTCACTTTTTCTTTTAAATGCCCTCCAAAGCCCACCTGTCACCAGCTTTGCCTTGATGATCAAGTCTCCTCATGGTTTGAGTAAAGATGACTTATTTAAATAACCTTCCCACTTGTTCTGGCTGGGATTCCCCTTATCCTTTTATTTTTTCCTCTCCTTTTTTTAATGCGTGTGTGATGCAGTGAGAGGAAAGATCAGTCTATTCATCAGGTTCCTTGAAAAAGCCTGGTAATCCTATCTTAGACTTCATTTGTAGGCATCTCTTGGCTGAGTAACGCTATTGAGACAGCCTGTATGAAAGCTTTCAAGGCATTTGCACTCGTTGAATCTTTAGGAGGGGAAAGAATAACTTCATCTGGGGCCTGTGAAGCTAATGCTTCCAAGCCTTGTGTGTGCTTTTCATTCCTTTCTTTCTTTTAAGAAAACACAATCATGTGATCTGTATGAAAGCATAACATATAAGTGACCTTCGTGCTAAATGTCAGAACAGTGCAATAAAATTGACTGATCCCAAGGCAATATAGGGAGAAGAGGAAGAAAGAAGCTGGAGGCCTGTACTTAAGACTTCATTGTCTGTATGCTTTGTAATTTTTAGTGTGTAATTGTCTCAGTGTTCCCTAAAAACTTGTAGAGTGATAAGTTTTTAAGCAAGACACAAAAGTTTCAAAAGAAAGCATATGTTCTTCAAAAATTTGGTGGCAATTCTGACTTTTGAAAGGTCTTTCATTTATATTAAGTTTGGTTTTGATGCTATTGAAGCAAACAAAGTGCAGGTAATGAGGTGCTCAGAAATTATACATGTTTGGAGAAAGCCATGTAGTTGAGTCATTGTTTATGTATTTCTGAGGAAATGGAAAATGATCTGAAAATTCTTGGTTATCCTTTCTGAATTATAAGATGGACTAGAGCAGGGATAGGCAACCTAAGGCCCGGGGCCCGAATGCGGGCCCCCCGAGGCCTTTGGACTGGCCCCAGGCCGGTCCTACCACCGCCGCCCACCATGATGATATTGATTATTGTTGTTATTACTTGTTCTTGGGGTTTTCTTGGCAAATTCCCCACAGGGGTTTTGCCATGGCTTTTCTGGGGCTGAGAGAGTGTGCATGCATATTTTTTTATCCCCCCCCCATTTATTTATTTATTTATTTATTTATTTATTTTTGGTGTTTCGGCCCCCCAATTTTCTGAGGAACAGCAGCCTGGCCCCCGGCTCAAAAAGGTTGCCTACCCCTGTACTAGAGTGCTGCAAAATGGGGAATTTGGATCAGGTAGCTAGAATATTGCATGTAACATCTATCCTAGCATACAGAAAACTCATGCATCCTTTTGATGTAATATGACTTTTCAGATTAATATTAGCTGTTAAAAGGGGTTTGGGAATCACTACGGTAGCACAGATCTGCAGTACATTACTGCCTTAGGAATGGTCATGGGGTTCAATCCATTGTATGGCTGGCGAACTTGTGGCTCTCCATATGCTGATGATTTAATACTACCCCCATCATCCCTGCCTGGCTAGGGCTGATAGGTTTTTGTGTCCAATAACATAAGAAGCACCACAGTTTCCTAGCTCTTGTCTAGTGTAATCTTCCCTCTATTCTGTCTGTTTCTAACTGCTAGCCTCAACCACATTCCTGCTTTCTGTTCTAAAGCTCAAGCACAGGGTGCTCTCACCTTCATTGATCTTTGGACAGAAATGTAGTGCTGGCACCTAGTGTCACCAGACTGTTGCCATGGGTAGGCATAGGAGATTGCGTGCATGTGGTTTGTGTGTAATATAGCTGTTGCTCAACATCCTTGACAACTTTTTGTTCTTCAATGTTATGAATATTTTTTTAAAGAACAAAAACATCTGTTTGCAGCATCCTGGGCTTTTATTATTAGCCAGTGTACATTCTGTATCTAACATTATTGCAACTTGTCACTTGCGGCTATCAAATGTTCTTCCCCAAGGTGCCTACAAACTGCATGTAGTTTATTACAGAATTCAGTGGGTTTAGTTTTTAAAAGATTTTCCTTTTCAATTCTGTAAGCTACTGTAACAAGGATGCATTTCCTTTTCTTATGCAAAGAAGACATTGCAGAAATGTGACCTGTTGCCTATAAATACCGTATAAGACGACCAATTGTATAAGACGACACCCAGCGTTTCCAGTCAAAATATAGAGTTTGGGATATACTCGCCATATAAGATGACCCCCCCTTCCAACGCATACCAAATAAAATTAAAAAACAAAACATCAGATTTAATTTCAGTATGGTAATTTTA